TACTAGCCACCTCCAGATCAAGCTTTTCCCTCTTCATCACAGAGCAGCCTTCTTTGTGGGTATTTGACCACTACTCTTGAAGATTAAAAAAGATGCTGTAACTTGGTGTTACTTTCTTGAGAGGTGTAATGACTTCATAGATAAGTATGAGATGAGTCGCAGCCTGGGGCAACGCTTGCAGGATGTTTCCCATGAGAAGCAAGCTTTTGTTTTTCCAATTTATCTTAATCAAATATAGCATGACATGTTTCCCCCCTGTGGAAGGGCTGAGCCTTGAGCCCAGTAGGAAAAGCAGTGTATCCATGGAGGAAAACAGATTTTTACTGCATTAAGTTCAGCAATGAGTTCACTGCAATATTTTTCTTGCTGGCAGACATATCACTTTTCTTTGTGAAATGTTTCTAAATTAGAGACAGTCTAAAATTGTATCTTCCCCAAATATAAAAGGTTAAAATTAGAAGTAGTTGTTCTTGTGCTCATGTCACTTCAGCAGGGTGGCTGTTCTGTGAAGGGGCATGTGAGAAACCAACCTTTGATGTGGGGTTTGTTTGCAGCTTTAAGTGTGTTCGCAGTCTAGGTGCACAGAATGATTAATAATGTGAAAATGTGATTCATTTTTAATTGGATATTCAGGTATTTTTCTTTACAGTAAAGACTTTTCTGTTTTAAGTATTATACATACCAGCAGGCTATTAAGGATTTTAACTTCTTGATTCTTTTTGTGCGTGCCTGCTGTCTCTTCCCACTTGCACCGATGAATTTCCAAGCATAACTTACAGATAAAAAGATTATACTTTCTAGAAATTTCATAATAAAGCATTTAAGGTAACTTATTTCTAAGGATTAGCTGTGTCTATTCTAACTTGGCTGCCTTCAATCACTGAACTAAAACTTCTCTGAAGGCCTGTGAGTTCAAGAGTTTGACATTACCTTCTATGAGACATTGGGGTTGTATAGCTAGGGATTTCCAAACTCCCCTAAATTACTGTTGCTAAAAAATAGATTTATGTTGAGGTGATCTTGATGACCAGATCTTGTCTTGTTTGATTTGTAAATTGTACAGATATTTCTAACAAATGGCATTCCAGCCTAACCACAGGCTCCTTCTGGTCGTCAGTAGTGGCAAGCAAATGTTTCTCACCCGAGTCAGCAGAATGTTTCTCAATTTCTTCTCTGTTAGTCCTTGTTATTGCCTCCTGCAAGTTTTTAAAAAAAAAAAAAAAAAATCACTGGGAGAGGGTGAGGGGAAGACAGTCGGTGTTCAGGATCTTACATGCCTTGAATTTCAGCGACTCTGCCTGATTTGGCAAGCAGCGTGTCTACTAAATCGCCTGGTTTTAGTGTTTGTTGTCCGGTATGACAGTTTTGCAAATGCCGTTTTCAAAGGTAGAGCTGCAGTTGGGGTCAAAGAGGGGATATCTCAGAGGTTTTCCTGAAGTGTTGAAATAAACTGAGTTATTGCAGAGAGGCAAAACACTTGGGAGTATTTACTGCGGCCCCATACGGAGAAGGAGGAGGAGAGGGTGGAGGAGGTATTATTTGTGAAGAGGATTAAAAAATTGTATGAGAATTAATCCTTCTGGCACAGGGAGGAGTATAAAGAAAACATCTGAGTGTATATTGACCGGAATTTTCCAAAGGTGGTACCTAAAGCTCATTTGAAGTTGGTTGCCTGTTCTACTCAGAGTTAAACCATCGCTATTGCTAAACATAAAGCAAAATGGCACCTCTCTTATGAAACGTCCAGCGACGCTCCCACTCTTCCTCCCTCCCACCCCCACTGCAACCATGGTCCTGTTTAGCCAACCATTGTTTTGAGGTGCTTGGTAACCACGGCTTTGTGAAAGTATAATGCTCTATGTAAGCTTTTAGGGCTGAGCTAGAACAAAAGCAGATGTCAGAGATGTTGCGTGCAGCCTGCCAAGCTGTGAGACATTGTCCATTTGACTAGCGAGGCAGCTGGGCTCCGCGACCAGAGGAGGACACAGGATTGTTCTGCTTCCCTTTGGCTCGCTCTGAGTTCCAATACTCCGCACTTCATCGCTCTAAATGAACCGTTTATGCTTTATTTCTTATTCCAGTTAAAATGTGGCTTCTGTGGGTTCCATAACTCCAACTTTTTTCCATTATAGAATTGTTTACATTACAGTGGAAGAATTATGTTCAATTGGCGTAGCCTTCAGGTGGCTCGTTGGCCGTTTACAGCTGCTTTGTGAAATGCCTTTTTTTTTTTTTTTTCCATTGGCTACTTGCAAAAAAATTTTCCTTTTGCAGCCATTTGTTGAGACTGGGAGAGCTCTTTTAACAGGCCACGATGTTTTAAGACCATTGAGCCATTTCAAGGATGGCAACTCTGTTGAGAGAAGCTGCTCGTGGCAAGAAGCTCCCGCAGCAGCCTCCTGTTAGGCATTTTGTCATTGTTTGCTCTCCCAAGATTGTACGGTCTTCTTTACACACCTTGTGTGCAGTTTGAGAAGAAATGCTGGTAATGCTATCACTGAAACCTTGCAAGGGGTTGGGGGCCTCACTATAGCAGCGATTAAATTTGTCTCTTACTATTATAGAACTGGAACTAACAGTCTCCCATCACAGCTGGCTGTAGTTATACTGTAGTGTGGCATGTCTTCCAAATTTTGTGGAACTGAAAATTATACTTCTTGATTCACACACCATATCTCACTGCCTTGGCAACGACCCTACCCTCACTCTCAAGAGAACGTAGGAAATGGTCATTTACAACTCAAGTACGTGGGGATTTCCTCCATGCAAATTTGCTGTTCAAGAGAATTTTATTGCAAATTTCTGCAGGTGAAAACCATTAATCTAAGGAAGATGGCTTGAGACCTTCTTTTGTCCCAAGGTAGCTGTCAGATTGGGGATGGAATTAAATTCCCTGAATTTCAGAGTACAGTGGAGAAGGAGGTTCCCAGGTTTGCCATAAATGTACTTTACAATTTTAGGCAAGTTTCAACTCTCTCTTTGCATCTGTCCTCGATGACTAAAATAGAGATACGTTATTTGATATTTGTTTAGTTATGAAGCTGATGGGGACAGGGATGATCTTGCTACAAGTACCAAAAAGTTGTCCATCGCCAGTGGAGCCTATAGAAATGTTGATAGGATATGCTATAGTCATCTGGTCATTCATCCGTTCTTTGTTCTCCCTGCCATATCAAAATCACTCTTGTGTATCAAATTCTGGATCTTTTCTTTTTCAGTTTTACTTCAATTATTTTTTTTTTTTTCCCCTCCCCGAGAGAGGCTGTGCCTCATTTATCTCAGGCGGCTGTACCTGTCTATTCATATAATCCAAAGTATGCCAAAGCACTTTGAATTAGTCTCCTGTAAAATAACAAGGAATAAATAAAAGAATTTCCTTGCTATCAGAGCACCTCATCTTTTACCAGTTGCATGCCAGAAGAATGGTTTTATTTTGAAATGTTTACATATACCAGTAGTCACAGCTGTCATACAGAAAAATATAACTGATATTTTTTTCAACATTCTTATTTCACTGCCATTAAAAAATGACGCTATCAACATAATTGTGTAAGTCCAGCGCTCTGGTCTCTTCAGTGGGACCTGAAATGTTGACGGGAGTGAACCCAACTAAAATCTTCTTCCCAGCAAGTCTAGAAAAAGCAATGGAGCTTCACCTTTTGTGGAGACCTGCTGTGGAATTTCACCCTTTAATGTGCAAATGAAGCCTGCAGGGTCCTCTGAATCTGCTCTGGCTCCTGCATTTCAAAGTGGGCTTTGGAAGCTTCGTGCGGGGGAATGGCAGCGCTGAGGTCTGTCACACTTTCCCTCGTTATTCTGTAATAAATTTAGTTTTATTTTTTGGGGGGGTGGTGTATCAGGCTCCCTTATTGGTCTAATAAAACATGACTCATTTAAAGGAAAAAATGCAGAAGAAAATTGTTGACAATAAGTTTCCCAACATGACGTCAAAACCCATCAAATCATTAATAGCAGAAGTTAAGGTTTGTGTAATTTGTTCTGCAAATTTATTTAAATCTGTGACTTTATGAAAATTCCTTAGTTTAACTCAGTTCTTTTTTTTTTTTTTTTTACTTTTTTTTTTCTTCTCCTTTTTCCTTCTTCCCCGGACAATGTTTCCCTGACCTTTTGCTAAGTGATTTCTCTTTTACCCACAATGTCTAGTGTTCAGGCCATAGACTATTTGGATTGCTTCTTGCTTCTTTTGTATTAATATAATGGCAATTCTTTCAGGTTTTTTAAGTATGTAGCAGTTCAATTCTTGAATAGATTTTTACGCTAGTTTTATTTTGGAGGTCTGTCCAAAAAAATCTTTTAATGTAAGATGGAGACTAGAAGTAATTCAATTATATGGCATTTAAATAATGTTTAAGTTTTGAATTATGTTTCAAATGATTTTTAGCAAACAGCAGTAAGGTCACTTTCTTGTATACACAGAAAAACTGACACAAATTAAGCAACTGATTTTTTGGAGAAAGAGCCAAAAATTAAGGAGGTCCACTGTGAGATGTCATAAAGTCCCAGTCATTAAAAAAAAAAAAAAATTAACATAGAATTTAAATGCCTCCATCCTCTAAAAGCAACAGTAGGGAAAACACCTGCTCTAATAAAGCTGTAGGCCATAAATACCTTAAGGAGAACATTTTAAAGTTTTGAAAATTTTCCTGTTTTTTAAGAAGTAAGGATTCTTATTTCTCCTTGACAACCTCATACTACTATACAATGGCGTGGCAAAAACTGAAAGGCTCCTTAACGTTTCTAGTGGATTACAAGAAGGATTTTTTTTTTTTTTTTTGAAAGAACATCAATAGCTCAATGTTGCACTTCAGATGGTCTAAAAAAACCCAAACACTTTACACATGTAGCATTATTAATGGCCAAAGTGAGAAACGCTAGGTTTTAGCCTAGGTTCCTTACATCAGGGACAAATGCGGGGTTTCAGTTTTAACTTTTATTATAACTAACATAAAATGCATTTGAAATTACTTGTGTTTTTTCAGGGTCCACACATAGCATCAGTTACTCTTGCTGCATATGAATGTAACTCAGTTAATTTTCCTGAGCCTCCTTACCCGGATCAAATTATCTGCCCTGATGAGGAGGCGTCTGAAGGATCCATCTCTTTATGGGCTATCATCTCAAAAGTCAGGCTGGAGGCCTGCATGTGGGTAAGGTTTGGTTTATAAGACTTTTAATTTATGCACTTAATTTCTGTGTTCAGCAATACACAAAAATTCCTGAATTAGCAAAATAATGATGGCTTACACTGCCAACAGTAACACGTATATCCGCAATATGAATAGTTGCTTTCCTGACCAACCTTCTCTGTACTAGCCCTGGATAATTTTAATCTCCTTTGAAGAGAAGTAATAGGATATTACTGGGCTATCTTTTATCAACTGCAGTGTTGACTACTTTTCTAAATGCTAGCAGGAAACGCTCATGTGCTTCAAGGCTGTTGATGTAAAAGGTAAGTTTCAGAAAGGGTATCTGCATTCCAAATGATCTTGCAGCTGTCAGGTCTTACACTGCATGCAGTTAAGCAATAAATAATTTCAAAAATTTTGAGCCTGTAATTTGGGTGAAGTTGCAGTTACTCATAGGAAGGACTCAGGCCCTAATACCATAGCTGAAATGTTTTTCTGGGCTGCATCAATAGATGGGATTAAATAAAGAATGTTACGTTGCACATTTTTATGTATTTTATTTCTGTTTCTCTGCCTGTTTCCATCATGGCAAACTTTTCTCTTAAAACAGGAAAAGCTGATTAGCTTTTAAGTGAATCAGGGTCTTAGGAAACGCTGTCATTCAAACTGCCTTTCCGTTTTTTTTTTTTTTTTTTTTTTGTTTTCCCCTCCCTGTGGCTTTTTATAGACGTTTGATTTTTGGAGGATTTCAATCAGCTAAGATTTTTTTTCATTACGTGTAGATTTTGAATTGCAGTTTACACAGATGCATCTGCTGTGACCTGCATGCCAAATTAACTTTATTTTACTACTGACTTCCTGTTCTGACTGATGATTTAATTATGAAATTCTTGGTTGTCCAATTCAAATGTAGAGAGAGGAAATTCTGAAAATACACGGTATCTGACGCCTGGCCTTGTTTTCCTCTCTAATGATATGAAAAGATATGTTAAGGCAACTTTGGTCACTGCAACTTTTTAAATTAGCAGCAGCTGTGTTGCCTGCAAAATTTCCAGTTAGGTTGTACGCATTACAGACCGAAGTAACGCGTAGCAGTACCAAAGTCAAAATAGTAAGAGAAAGTGGACTGACTTTGCTTCTTGAGAGGGCTGTACATCTTAAATCTCGCTCTTTCTAATGAGAGGACAGAATTTGCCTGAATGCTTGATAAGTAGCTAAACATACAAGTACTTATAAGACCATAAATATAAGATTTCTTTTAATTTTCTTCCTTGACCCCTCTGCTTAAGTTTGTTTAATGGAGACTAGAGTAATAAAAATGGCATTTACAGTTATGTTTCTAGGGCTGCAAAATAAAAAAGTAGCTCAGGGTAAACATTGAGAAGATTAAGCAATGGCTTAACGTTCAGCCTGTAAAATAACTGAACTATGATGAGAATTAAGTAGTTTAGAAATGAGTTAATAGAGTTGCAAGCATTGAAAGCTTGTGTCCTGAGCAGCCAGGAGGGAGAACAAATGGTACCTTCAGTCTCTCATTTGAGCTGTTTCTTGGTTCGGGAAAGGACAAGGGAATAGGACCAAGCCAGAACTGTTTGTAGCCCGCTCCTTCCCCCCTCCCTTTCTTTCTTCTCGCCTTCAAATTCACCGTCAGCTACCTTTTCACTGAACTCTGTCTCCACTAGATTCTCCCTTGGGAGCATCCTCTGTCTACCAGTGGTGTCTAGTGTAATGTTATGCTTTCTTGGAATGTTTCATGAGTACATAAACATTGCTTGCTAATTTCCTGTAAGCCAAATCAAGCTGGCAATTGCTGCTGCTTCTTCCAGTATGTTTCTTTTGTCTTAATTCCAGTTCACTTTTTATGGAAGCTGTTGAAGAAACTTATTTTTGATTCTGTCACTCTTAAACCAAATATCCATCTTAACAGGAGAGTAACGGTGACTTCCAGAAAACTGATTTTTGCAAATCAAAACCTTACTTTAAAAAAAAAATTTAAAAAAATTGAATTTAATTTTCTGCTTTTAAACTGAGATCAGGAATATTAAGTTTAATTCCTAATCTGGGTGTGACTGAATGGACTCACAAAATCTTTTTTCTTTTTTTTTTTTTAATGTAACTGGCAACTTCTCATTGGATCTAAAATCTGAACTTACCATGACAAACCCTGGATAAATGCAAAAGAAAAGGAATTCACGGCTGTATACAGATGTGCTCCTAATGCAGCACATGGAGCCCTGTGAGGAATAGGTACAATAGCAGCAACAGCCTATTTCTTTTAGACTTGTAAAGTGAAATTACGTTGAAAGGCTCTAAAGTGAAATCTGGCCAATCTCCTTGATTGTTTGGAGGGAGACAGGAGGGTGGTAGCAATATAAGTTTTCATGTGAAATGTTGAAAGCAGGTCGGTCCCAGTGGGGACTTTGCAGACCTCTGACTATAAACCTACCCAGACTAAGTATCCTGCAAGGTTTGAATGCGGGGATTTAGCTGCACAAGGGATTTGATTCAGATCACAAAAACATCAGCGGCTGTTTCAGCCAACTTAAACCAGGTACGGTTTTTTCCAGAGATTAAAATCATTACTAGTCCCCTGCATGTCAGTGATAACCATTTTTGCTGATAATGAGTGCTACGAGGATTAAATATCACTGTATCTAAGGAATTATTAGGTGAAATGGAAGGGATGCTTTTTTCAATCACTATAAAAGTTGGCTCCACCAGTCCTGGCCTGCAGAAGGAGTCTCAAAAACAATCTGCTAGGTGTATGCCAGTTTTCACAGCCTTCCATCCCACAGGGACGAGGAATTCAATAGTGCCCTACATTTTTAATGTGTTGCAGCTTTTTTTGTTTTTTTACAAGAAATAAGGGGAAAGAATAAAAATATTTAATTGCTCAGGATTAGCAGAACAGGCGGCCTGTGTCCTGACCAGGATAAAACCTGTTTAAAAGACTCTTTCTAGTGGAGTAATTTCCCAGTTTCCTTTTCTGAATGTAGTTGTGTGAAAGAATTTTGATTAGCGTTTGCCTTTCCAATTTGTTGTTAGTCTAAGGAATCTCAATGTAAAACTGGCATTTAAAGTTAAATGGTGAAAATGGACAGCTAATGTTTTTTGTAAAGCAGTTAAATAGTTACTGGTTTGGATCCCTTAATTGGTTCTTTTTTTTTTTTTAACGCACTTAAGGAACCTATCTCCAGCAGACATGAAATCATATGATTTTTGTTGCACTTCTGAAATGTTTTGTAATAATGAGCATGTGACTTATCCAATTTAAAGAAAGTTCATGTCCAGTACACACATGCAAACCTCTTCCTCAGCTAACAAAATGAAGCCAAAGCAAATTGGCAGAGCCTGGAGAAGCAATGTGACTTTTTGTTCTTGCATCACCCTGAGAACATAACCTCAAGTTAATTTTTCTGAAACGTTGTTGCTACTGTTTTTGGGCTTATCTTTCCTTGTGCCAGAAATAGGCAGATTAATGAAGTTCAGCTTGTTGCGCTCGTTTAAATTTTTCTTCTGTGGAAAACAAGAGCATGAACATGAGGCTATGCACTTTACATGCTCAAACCGAGAATTTAACAGTTTCGGTAACTGCAGAGAGCGCCTGTGTTTAAAACCACAACCTGTTGATTTGGAATATCCACAGCAGCTGGAATTCTCTCTTGCTTGCAGCTGCATATAGAGCAGGAACAAAGGAAATTGAAAAGCTTTCACACTGCTTCAAAGGAAGAGAAAAGCATTTGTTACTACTGACCGTAAGAGAGAAAAGCCATCTGCATGTAGCTAAGTTTTAGCACTTTTCCAGTTTGCTGCTCAGCTATTGTGCTGTTACCTGTCCTGTATTTCAACCAGTCTGAGTTTAGTCCAAGTTCCTGTTTCATTAGCCTCTGTTTATCCATATGTTCAATCTTAGCTGCCTCTCTTTTCTTTTCTTTCTTTCCTTGGTTAAGATAAAGCTGCATTTACCCACAAGATTGAAATGAGTCATTTGATGTCCTGAGAAAACAAATATAATTTTCCTGTGGCGAGACAGCAGCCATGCTTTCATCTCAGGTTCTCTTGGCTTGCTTTATTCCATCTAAAGGAGAGAGAGAAAACTCGAGATCAGGCTTTGCTTAACCTTATTTTCCTTGCTTACAGCTGTAGTAAAACTTGAGCCTGTTTTCTAATAAAGACTTGCACAAAGTCTCATGACTGAACAAGTAACGTGACGGCACCGGGGAGGAGTTCCCAGATTCTTTTGAAGGCCACTCAGTAACAAGGGCTGTCACATGCTGGCAAATGTGTCTGGCATCATGCGGTGGGGTGAGATGGCAGCGCTGTGCTGAGTCAGGGATCGTGTCAGACAGCAGGGCCCCCGGCCCGGCCGGCTCTCCGGCTGCAGCGCAGCGACAAGCTCCAGCCTCCCCACCGCACCAGGCGCAGCTAGCCACCGGCTGCGGAGCTCTGCTGGAGCCGGGCAACGTGCCGCTCTGCAGGGCCCCAGAGATGCACGGATCGTGTCGTTTTGACCTTGCAGACCGCAACTTGGGAGCCTCTGGCTTGCGGCGTGATAGTCTGCGCTGTGAGAAGCTCAAGTTTGCTAGACAAGGAAGGGGAGAAAGTAGGGTTTCAAAGGAACAGCATTTTGTTTGAAATAGGGAGAAATTTGACCTGGTGGATACAAGCAAACTTCTCAAAGCAGCTGGTCTCATCAGTTCTAATCATTTGAAATGTCCACGGGACTACGCATATCGCATGTTTCCTATTTAAGAATAAACATGAAAATAAATCAGAATTACTCTTTTCCCAGGGTGCTGGCACAGCCATTGGAGAGCTGCCTCCATATTTTATGGCGAGGGCGGCCCGACTCTCTGGTGCTGAACCTGATGATGAAGAGTACCAGGAATTTGAGGAGATGCTGGAACATGCAGAGACCGCACAAGTAAGAACAGTGCAAAACATCAGAATTAATAAAACACAGAACAACTAGATGGAGTAAATAACCATTCCAATGAAATGGGAATGGGCCAAAAATCAGTTGGTGTGAGTTCACAAGGGACTTCCCAGGGTGGAAGAAGATCTTCCACTGGGTAGAGATACCTCTGGTGATGGGAGGACAAGAATGCAGCTTGTTGAAGCACATACAGTAGTGCAGCCAAAGTATTTGCTACAAATACTGCATTTATTTAGACTTCTAAGAACAGCACGATGAAGGTAGGGGGAAAACAGGCTAACAAACCAGTGATAGAGGAGGTGCTCTTCCATAATCATGGTTGTTACAGCTTCATTTAAAGCCTCCCTGGGCCAGGAGATGATTTTCAGTCTGCTCATCCCCTTCAGATGACATTTGCTTGCCTTGCCACTAAAACCCTCAGGGGCCAGTGCATGACCTGTTCCTCAGCCTGAGGAAACATATTTTTCCTGATGTGAAAATGCAACCAAACTGCTCTGAATCCCTTTTTGTTGCTCTTGCCATTTATTTTCTTGATGGATTAAATGGTGCTTGTGTTGCAGCATAGTTTGCAACTGATGCTGTACATCAGTCAGATATTATTGTAGATCATTTGTCATTCAGGTCAGGAGTTTGCATCCTGTTCACAAGTTATTGATAGTGTTTTAGAAAAAATTAACCATTTTTTTTCCTCAAACTACTTGCCACTGAATTTCTCTTCTGTATTTTTCCTTCTTACCCTGTTTTGCCTGCCACTAAGTTGAAATGGGTCATGAGACTGCTATTAAAAAACCAGCAGATGCTAGAAGCCAGACCTGTTTTCTGTTAAAGGAGATCAGGCCCTAGTAGTAGACATCATAGTTGGGTATGAGAGTAAATCAACATCTTTGGCAGATGCAGTGGCAGAGAAAGTTAAGAAATATCAACATCTAAAAGATCAAATTCAAGAACTGACGAATACCAATACTATTAAATTTACAGGATTTCCTTTAGGAGCACGTGGAAAATGGTATTAAGGCAATTATGAATTCTTAGCAGAACTAGGACTCTCCAGTCGTTAAAGTGGAGTCTCCAGTGCACTGCTGTCTTTAAACTGTTTTGCCTGGGTATTTTCTTGATATAAATATATGCTTTTACTGTTTTTTCTCCTTCTCTTCAAAATATGGATGAAACTTTTTCCATGAAAGAAAGCGGTTTGTCTGGAAACACTGAGTGTAATCTAGTAATTCTAACAGTAAACCCCACGTTTCCTGAGAGCCTCCCCTACTAGAAAGTTCCAAAGGGATTTTCTGCTATTGTAAATAGTAAATTCTTCTATTTCTTTAAAGATGCGGGGGGTGGTGGTGGTGGGGGAATCTGCTTTGTTCTTTATCGTCAGTCTTTGCTTTGCAAAGTAATCCCTAGCTGTATAAAAATCCAAGTCGTGGTTAAAAAAAAAATTAAAAAAAAGTCGTGTCCCGTCCCGTCCCGTCCCCCCCCTTTTTTTTCCCCCCCCCAAAAAACCCCCAAACCTAAACCAGTAGAATACAAGACTTGAGAGCTGAAATGCTATCTGTGTTTACTGAAACTCTCCCAGCAAATTATATGCGTGTACGGTTGTGGGAGCAGCCAGGGTTGGTTTCCAGAACGCACAGTAAGATTCTTGGGAAGAAAGTTTTTGCTAGAGAGCATTTTGTCAGGACAGGCCAAAATATAGCTAGCTGTATCGACTGCCCTTAGTAAACGAATGGCGTTGTGTAATTAATTAAGAAAAAGGATAGTGTTATTTACCAGTACTTTTGATTTTATTTTCTTGGCAGTTGAATTTGGATTGAAGCATGTTGTTTTGTGGATGGATGGCCAGGAAAAAAAAAATCTTTTTAAACTCCACTTGTGGTTTGGTTTTTATAAAAGTCTCTTAACGTGAGGCTTTGACAATCCGATTAAATTGTATTGCGCTCATAAAACTGACAGTTCAGTTTTTTCCATTTGCTAATATGACTTCCTTTTCGCTTTTGGCTTCAATCATGTTTGTGCTAGATGTCTGTGGGAGACAGGCCTGCCTTTTCCTATGACCTTGAGTAAATCCCAATCTTCAGCATAGCTTATCGCTATTTGTTTTGTAATTGCTATTCATGAGCAGTTATGATGTCTATTTTTAAAGTGCTCAATAACAACTTTTATTATCCACCTCAGCTTCTCCCACTCTCCCAAGTTGAAGCCTTATGCTTAAGAAAACACGGGGGATGTGACAAGCGTCTTATGCCACGGAGACTACTACAAATGTTTGACGTCAAATGACAGGAGCCTTCTTTCAGTAGAAAGGTCTCGCTTCATCCTGCCTTTTTGAAAGGCATGCAAATGGGCGTGTTAGATTTGGAAGAATAGCTTCCCCCTCTACTTCTGCTGAGCTGCTATATGCCTACAAGGCAAAGCCAAATGGCTTGACGTTTTTGCCTGCGTGTGTTTTGTTTAGAAAGCTTGTCGCTGCTGTCTCTCAAAAACAATGGTAATTTTGAGAAACAGATGAGGATCTTCTATGGTGAGAACAGGCCATGAATGTGACATCCAGCCTGAAGGATCTGTGAGGGGGAATGTGCTTGCTAGCCTGGCACTTCAAAAAACAACAAAAAAAGGAACCTAAGAGGATTAAACAGCGTAAAGGTTTAGTGCCCCATTCAGAGTTACGCCGAGTAAAATACTATTTGAAGAGTCTATTGATGGATTTTCTGTCATAAATCGTGGATCTAAGTGACCTGCCTCCTTAAGTTAGGTTTTGAGAAAACTCATTAGCCTACAGATGATGTGTAAGTCTGCCTTGTACTCGCCATTAGCATACTTCAGAAAAAGCCCCTCATTTTAAAGGCACACTCACTTCTCCTTTCTGTGCGTGCACGCCAGTGAGTTAGTCCCAGTTACACAAAGGGAGCGTCAGAGCTCTTGCCTCCTGGTTGCTCTTGTTAAAATGGAGCGGCTTTGCCCTGGAGAAGGAGTGTGGTTTACAAGCAGGGCTCTTTTTTTTTTTTCCTCAGAGCTCCACACAATGCAGAGCCCAGCATGCTATAGGAACAGAGCAACTTGGTCTGATTTGTTAATACTTAAGGCAGTATTTAAAAATTACACATGTTTGAAATGGTATCTCAGTTGCTGTTAACTCTCTTCCAGTGGAATTCCAGAGCAAAGGAGTTTTTTAGCAGAGCTCCCCTTTTAGCCACGGGGAGTATCTCCAGTGCAGCCGTTCAAACCAACCTCTCAATTAGGGGAAGTGAATCTACTACTTTAGTGCTGGGGCAGCACATTGGTAATAACACAGTGCAAGCATACTTTTGTACAGTTTCATGTCTACGCACACATGTTCAGGGACTCTCTTTTGCCGGTTTAAGAGTTGCTGATTGTTTAGTATTCTCATCTTTTCTCCGTCATGCTGAAACACTTAAACCTGATGGAGGTTTCTGGTGAAAATGAAGCTTTTAATGCCAGCTGCCCTCGAGGTACTTAGTGATAATGCGTAATGCGTGGGCCCTTGCTGTATCATGGTACTCCTTGCTAAGAGGAGAAAGTACTAATATCTTTGCTGTATATCTAATCCTTAATGACGGTAAGTGTTTGGATTCATTAAGTGGCATATTTTTAAGAACTAATGATTTACGCACCGGGCTTTGCTTCTGTGCAGCGTTCCTGCAGCCAAATTTCCGTGTAAAAATATTTTCTAGTTGCCTATGTTACTATCAGCCGCTGCTGTTTGTTTACTTTCCAAACTCTGTCCTGCCTCTGAGAGAATACAAACTTGAAAAAGGGTTAAATCCATAGAAATGCTGAGATGCAGCAGGACTCGTTTGTAAATGATTGAGTGCCATCTGCACACTGAATGTCAGTTGTTGCTGGGACCTGTTTTTGACTCCACTGAACCTTTACTGGTTGTGGTTTGTCTGGCCATCACATGACTTCTCTGAAAATTCCCCCTCCCCTCCATTTCCAGTAAACTGTTTGAACAGGAGTGACTCAGACTGAAACCAGCTTCCCTGTAACCACAGGGCTTGTTAAAGAATTTGTCAACGTGGACTCAAGAGGGTTTGTATTAAACTAAGCTGCAACTGCTTCAGTTTGCATTGCGTCAGGAGTTCCACCGAACAACTTCCTGCTCGGAGAGTCGGCTTCTTGTCCGCAAGGAGTTAAACTGATGAACTTTTGCGATAGTGACAGTTAGACACATGCTAAACCCATCTTTCCAGCATTTCTGAAAGCTCTGGTGCCTTGAGCTGGATTGCTTTTCCACATCTTCATGTGGGGTTTCTCTTTGCAGAAGCAGAACAAAGTACGCTACCACACCCAAGCCATGGTTACTCGGAGAACCCAGCACTGTGTTCTGACACGACACTGTGACTTAATTCAAATGGAATGATTAGGTTCAACTAATAAGCAAAATCTTACTTAATTAGCAGTGTAAAAGAAGATGGCCAAATTAAAAATGGATCTTTCCCATGATTAAACTAACAGCTAGTATCTGATAAGTTCCTGCTTGAAAAGGATTCCCTGGCTGCTGGCTTGTTTAATGAAAAGGTCTTAAGGGTATTCGGTACCAGAAAAAAGAAGTTAAAGCAGACCACAAGCAGGTTTTTATAAAGCAGTTATCATAAAAATGGAAGTGGTAGAGTCGCATACAATAACTGGAAAACCTTGACTTCTTTTTTTTGCTTTCCCAGAAATAACTTGTTGAAACCCAACATCAAATTCCGTTCATAATTTCTCTTACTCAGTCTTCCAGTCACCCCCTTTCCTCATCAGCTTCCTCTCTTTATTAATTGTGCCGCACAAGAAAGAGATTGCCGGTGTTCGGTCTAGGCTGCCTGATGGGTGGCCACCAGGAGGCTTGTCTTCACACACTGCATTCCTGAAGTTTGATGCCTGCGTTTGTTAATATACGTAGGGAAGGTATCGTACCTCTTTCATCTCGGCCCTTAATTAAATGGAAATTCAAAACTAATCAAACCTTGAAGCTTGTCTTCAGAAGC